TTTTTAGTAGAGACAGGGTTTCACCATGTTAGCCAGGATGGTCTTGATCTCCTGACCTCGTGATCTGCACGTCTCAGCCTCCCAAAGTGCTGGGATTACAGGCTTGAGCCACCACGCCCGACCTAATTTTTTTTAAATACACCAAATCTGTTGATGATGCAATAAAAATGAAACCCACATTGACTGCTGGTGGAAAATAACTTTGCAGCCATTATTTTAAAATGTTATAAATGTTCCTCATTTATAAATCTATATCCAAAATACGTAACACAGGCCAGGCACAGTGGCTCAAGCCTGTAATCATAGCACATTGGGAGACCTAGGTGGGCAGATCAAATGAGGTCAGAAGTTCAAAATCAGCCTGGCCAACATAGTGAAACACTGTGTCTACTAAAAATGCAAAAACTAGATGGGTGATGTCACGTGCACATAATCCCAGGAACTTGGGAGGCTGAGGTAGGAGAATTGCTTGAACTCAAAAGGCAGAGGTTGCAGTGAGCCGAGATCACATGACTACACTCCAGCCTGGGTTACAGCATGAGACTCCATCTCAAAAAAATAAAAATAAAAATAACAAACAACAAAAGAAACAAAATGTGTAACACAGGACCTGGAAGACACATTCGAAAATCCATGTTTATTATACCAGGATGCACAAAAGTCAAAAGGCTGAAGCAACCCAGATGTCTCTCGATTTATAAACATACCAAAAAATGTAACATATACATATGATGGAATATTATTCCACTTTAAAAAGAACAATCTTGTCACATTTTAAGATGAACATTGAAAATATGTCACCTGAATTAAACCAGTAACAAAATTATGATTCCACTTATATGAGGTATCTTTATGTTGGTTTTTTTTTTTTTTTTTTTTTTGAGATGGAGTTTCACTCTTGTTGACCAGACTGGAGTGCAATGGCACAATCTTGGCTCACCACAACCTCCACCTCCCAGGTTCAAGTGATTCTCCTGTCTCAGCCTCCCAAGGAGCTGGGATTATAGGCATGTGCCATATGCCTGGCTAATATTTTTGTATTTTTGGTAAGACAGGGTTTCTCCATGTTGGTCAGGCTGGTCTCAAACTCCTGATCTCAGGTGATCCGACTGCTTCGGCCTCCCAAAGTGCCAGGATTACAGGCATAAGCCACTGCGCCCAGCTATATGAGGTAGCATAAGTAGTCAAAAATCATAAAAACAGAAAGTTGAAGGTTTGTCTGTCAAGGGCTGGGGAGAGGGTAAAATGAGCAGCTGTTACTTAATGGAATTAAGTTTTAGTTTTATAAGATGTAAAGTTTCTAGAAGTCTTTTGCATAACAATGTGAATATACTTAACATGCCTGAAATGAACAACATTTTTTTTGAGACAGGATCTTACTCTGCAGTGTAGTGGCACAAATTTGACTCCCTCTCAATCTCCCAAGTACCCGGGACCACGGCTGTATACCACCATGCTTGGCTATTATTAATTTTTTTTATAGAGAGGGGTCTCCATATGTTCCCCAGGCTGCTCTCAAACTTTTGGGCTCCAAGGATCCTCCTGCCTTGGCATCACAAAATCCTGAGATTATAGATGAGAGCCACAACCACGCCTGGCCCTGAAATGTACACTTCAATAGATTTAAGACAGTAAATTTTATGTTATGTGTTTTTAAAACAATTTTGTAAAGAAAAACTGAAACAAATACAGAATTATAAATCCTGTTGAAAATTACCTTCAAATCACAAAAGAGATCACACCATTGCACTCCGCCTGGCCAGGCGAGCTCTGTCTCAATAATAATAAAAAATTATGCATGTTTTCATCAGTCATAGTTGGACTAACGCCACCATGTTGTGGCTTTTTTTATTTTTTAGCTGATTTTCGATGGTATTTTAGTGAGCAGTCCATTGGATAGTTTTATTTTTTCCATGGTTTTAATGATGAAAAACTCCTTGTGAGAAAAAAAAGCCAAAAAAATTGTGTCAATATAGATAAACACGCATACATATGTAATCGATTGTATAACATGCAAAATTTTATTTATTATATTTTTTATTTATTTGAAAGATCCATTGCCCGAGTGCAATGGTGTGCCGGCATGTCCTGTCAAGTATTCCCTGCCTACTCAGTAGCTGGGACAGGAAACAATGGCTAATTTGTATTTTGAGGTAGGTTCCATGTGAGGTCTAAATCTGATCATGCCACTGCCACCTCTCAGTGTGGGATACAGCGGAGCCCGGCCAGCACTTATCCTACTCAAAGTAAAACAAAAAAAAAAATATAAAAGTAAACAACCATAAACTGTTAAGACCTACAAAGGCAAGTGACTACTCCTGTAATCCCAGCTCCTTGCAAAGCTGAGACATGAGAATTGCTTGAACCTGAAAGGATATTCAGTCTGTCCAAAAATAAAATGGGAATCACAACTACCCAAGCCCCTGTACCAAGCCAACTAAAGGTGGGCCCTAGTGCAGACCCAGCAGTCTTGTGACCAAGCTACAACCCCTTTTCACTAAAAATTCACAGTGTATCTCATCACCCTAAGGGCCCAATAAAAGAAGATCTTTTTTTTTTTTTTTTTTTTTTTTTTTGAGACGGAGTCTCGCGCTGTCACCCAGGCTGGAGTGCAGTGGCCGGATCTCAGCTCACTGCAAGCTCGCCTCCAGTTCACGCCATTCTCCTGCCTCCGCTCCCGAGTAGCTGGACTACAGGCATCCGCCACCTCGCCGGCTAGTTTTTTGTATTTTTAGTAGAGACGGGGTTCACCGTGTTACCAGGATGGTCTCGATCTCTGACTCGTGATCCGCCCGTCTCGGCCTCCCAAAGTGCTGGGATTACAGGCTTGAGCCACCGCGCCCGGCCCAAAAGAAGATCTTTACCTTCTAAAATCAGTTTATGAAAACTTGAAGAGGTGTTTGCTCCATCAAATTTACATACCAATACAAAACTATATTGTGCCCATTGTCGATGCTTCTTTTTTTTTTTTTTTTAATTGAGATGGAGTTTTGCTCTTGTTGCCCAGGCTGGAATGCAATGGTTCCAGCTCACTGCAACCTCTGCCTCCCAGATTCAAGTGATTCTCCTGTCTTAGCCTCCCAAGGAGCTGGGGTTACAGGTGCATGTCACCACACCCGGCTAATTTTTGTATTTTTAGTAGACACGGGGTTTCATCATATTGGTCAGGCTTGTCTCGAACTCCTGACCTCAGGTGATCCACCTGCCTTGGCCTCTCAACGTGCCTGGATTACAGGTGTGAGCCAGGGAGCCTGGCCAATGCTTCTATTTTAATGTAGCACTGGAAGTATGTAGCAGAAGAATTAGTCAAAGAAATTAAAAAAAAAAAACCATTGAAATTGAAAAAAAAAAAAGTAAAAAGTTGCTGTTTGTACATCATACAATCATATATTTAAAAAATCATAAATGGTACATTAAACCCTATCTAATAAATACAGTCAGTAAATTGGCAAAATATAAAATTAACATACAAGTATATGTATGGTTTCGAACACCTTTTTTTTTTTTTTTGGAGAAGGAGTCTAGCTCTTTTGTCCAGCCTGAAGTGCAATGGTGTGATCTCAGCTCACTGCAACCTCAGCCTTCTAGGTTCAAGCGATTCTCCTGTCTCAGCCTCATGAGTTGCTGGGATTATAGGCATGCACCACCATGCCCGGTTAATTGTTTTATTTTTAATACAGACAGGGTTTCTCTATGTTGGTCAGGCTGGTCTCAAACTCCCGACCTCAGGTGATCAGCGCGCTTCAGTCTCCCAAAGTGCTGGGATTACAGGTGTGATCTAGTACTTTGGGAGACCGCCCCCGGCTATGGTTCAATACACTTAAACTGCGCCCAGCTACAGTTTCATACACTTAAACTATCTGATAAAATAGAGAAAAAAATCTTATTTACTATAGCATTAAATAATACATTTCTGAGAAAAAAATTAACCAAGGATGTAAAAAACCTTTACAATTAAAAAAAATCAATGAAAAAAGGGAAGATCAAAATAAATTTTTAAAAATTTTATGTCTTTGGATTGAAAGAACAAATTATAATAAAGTGCCATATTAGCCAAAGTGATCTATAGATTCAATACATTTCCTATCAAAATTGCAGTAGTATTTTTTTCACAGTAATGGAAAATTCAATTGTAAAATTTACATGAAACTAAAATAAACTTTGAATAGCCAAAGCAATCTTGAGGAAAAGGAAAAAAGCAGAAGAATATCATACTTATAATTTCAAACTATATTTGAAGACTTTATAGTAATAAAAACAGAATGGACTGTGCAGAAACAAAAAAAAATGCAACAGAAACTACTACTCTCACACATTTCAGACCTGATGTAAAAAGAGGACTTAAAAAAAAGTTTTAGTTTCTCAATATTATGCAGATATTTGTGTGTCCCCAAAACAATGGAAAAGCAGCCAGATTGTGAAGTCTCTTTCTTCTTCTTTATTTTATTTTTTGGTGAGATGGAGTCTTGCTCTGTTGCCCAGGCTGGAGAGGAATGGCATGATCTCAGCTCACTGCAACCTCCACCTCCCAGGTTCAAGTGATTCTCCTGACTCAGCCTCCCAAGTAGCTGGGATTACAGGCACCCGCCACCACGCCCAGCTAATTTTTGTATTTTTAGCAGAGATGGAGTATCACCATGTTGGTCAGGCTAAGCGCAAACTTCTGACCTCATCTGATCCACCTGCCTTCGCCTCCCAATGTTCTGGGAGTACAGGCATAAGCTGCCTGCGCAGTCTCTTACATGCCATGAAGAGGACTTTGGCTCTCACTGTGAACTTGAAGGAAGCTCACCAAAGGAGAAGAAGTAGAATTCTTAGAGAATTTAAAAGCATAAGACAGAAGATGCCCTTTTGTGGGAGCCGAATTAAAATACAGCTGCCCAGGAACTATTTCCTTTGGAACACAGCTTCCCGAATCACATTTTAAAGACTGGCTTTCTCTTTAACATTGGGACGTCTTATCTGTGTCATCTGTTGTATTCATTTTCACTCACACCTACCTGGGGGTTTGGCAATCATCTCATGTCTCTCCATAGGTTTTTTTCCTTGCTCCAGACAGGTAACCAGGTCTGGCTTAGAGACAACAATACCTGTTTTATTAAAAATAAATAACATGAATCTTGCTCATATACTCCAATTACAAGCTAGTAATGTGCTCAGCAGAGATGTCACAAAACATTCTAGTAAATTAATACCAAAATAATATTTATAACAGGAATTTCTAAATATTTAGAAAATACTTTCAATTTATAGGTTTCTTAATTTTACTATCTGGTACTACTGAATCAAAAATTGGTGGTGGCAATTAGATTTTTAGGTGGGGCAACAATATTTTATGCCACTGAATTTCTGGAATTACCACTAATTTGGAGTGAAGAATACAGCTCAACTCAGGAATGTGGAAAGTTTGGATTAAGATTAAACATGTTGAAGAAATCATTTTCTAAATAAACAAATTCAGAAGATTTTCTGGAAAAAGGGGATCTGAAACTCTTTTATGCAAAGAATAAATGACTAAAAAACATTCTACAAAAAAGAGAAATAAAATCTTTAGGGTATATTATGAATTATGTACTCAAGTTATCCTCACCAAGGAAGACCAGGTTTCTGTAGTTCTCTAACATCACATCCCTATATAAATTCCGCTGTGCAGTGTCCAGGCAATGCCACTCCTCCAGAGAGAATTCTATGGCCACATCTCTAAATTGCAATGGTCCCTGAAAAACACACACACACATATTTACTAAATAGCCATGAGTGGAATTTTTAATTTGACTTAAGGTGAAATTAGAGAGTAAAGAGAACTGGTTCTGACTCATAGGACTGCCTAAAATTATCCAATAAAATATTTTTAAACACAAAAATATTCTCTAATGTATTCTCTAACTCTGAGAAAAAAGAGCAGCACAAGATCCACAATATCAGTTTATATATGATATTTTTCTAGATAATAGAGTATAAAATTAAGGCCATGAACATGTACATTTTTGAGTGCTATATTTGCATCATATGGAATGAGTTGTGAATATTTTTCAGATGCAAAAGACATCTTCAGTTAGAAGGTACCTCTCAAATTTTAATCTACACAATAAGCTGAAAACTGTTGTGCAGGGTTTTTTTTTTTAAATTCCAGAAGATCTGGCATAAAGTCTGACTTTTTTAATTTCTAAAGAGCTCATCTCTAATGCAAATGTTTTTGGCCCAAGAACGGTATTTTGTCAAACATCCAATAAATGGAAGAGCCTGTGTTTTTCCCAGTTTTTCTGGCCTGTAAACAAAGATAAGAACCTTCATTTTCCAAAGAAAAGTATGTAGCAAAAAAGAGAAAAAAGGACAGCTGCCAGATTAAATGTGATGCTTTATGCACATCAACTGCATAAAAAAAAATACTTAATAATGAAGAGAAAAATAATTAACTCTATTGTAAAAAAATCTATCAGAAAGCCATGTCACCAAGTGAATCATTAACCATTAACTGCACTAGGACAAATTTTTATGATGTACTAATGCACATCACAGCATCACGGCTGAAATATTCCTCCCAAAGAAAGTAAATAAAATTCTGGCCAACCTGTATCCAGCATGGAGCCGGCGGGGATCAGAGGAGATCAGACCATCTGCTAACACGTGAAATTTAAAAAAAAAAAAAGCTGGGCGAGGTGGCAGCCTGTAGTCCAGCTACTTGGAGCTGAGGCGGAGATGCGTGACCGGAAGCGAGTTGCATGAGTGGACTGCATCCAGCTGGTCAGAGCGGGTCCGGAGGTAATCAATGGCCCTGTAATCCCAGCACTTTGGGAGGCCGAGGCGGGTGGATCACGAGGTCAGGAGATCTAGACCATTCTGGCTAACACAGTGAAACCCCGTCTCTACTAAAAAATACAAAAAACTAGCCGGGCGAGGTGGCGGGCGCCTGTAGTCCCAGCTACTCGGGAGGCTGAGGCAGGAGAATGGCGTAAAGCCGGGAGGCGGAGCTTACAGTGAGCTGAGATCAGGCCACTGCACTCCAGCCTGGGCGACAGAGCAAGACTCCGTCTCAAAAAAAAAAAAAATTCTGATTTTAACCATAAAGAAACATGTTTTATGCTAACTTCAAAATACAGATAACTCCTATGTTCTATAATTTTTAGTAGAAATTTTAAGTAGGCTTCATTTAGCACCCTAGAGAGCAGGTATCTTAATTTTTTTTCCCAGAACTTTCTGGTTAATAACTGCCATCCCATTTAAATAAGCTTTTCCTTAATCCTGTTCGGCATAGAGCTAATGGAACACATAGATGGAGCCTCAACATTACGTTTTCCATCTTTACTAGGGACCACAGTTTCCCCCAATAGAAATCTTGAGTATCCACATCTTTCCATGTTCAACAGCCACAAAGGGAGCACTTTTAATATTGCAGATCATAAATTATTGCTGAGAATCCTGCATGGCATATAAGAAGCTATGATGTAGCAAATGTAGAGGAGGCTCTAAGCTATAGAAAAGAAATATTTTACAGAGACCCTTGACTATCATAAGAATTTTAAGAAGTATTTAAACCAAACTCATTAGAAAAAAAAACCAAAAGTAGAGAAATAAATGTTTGTAAATACTAAATGAAAAAAAAAAAAAAAAAAAAAAAAAAAAAAAAAAAAAAAAAAAAAAAAAAAAAAAAAAAAAAAAAAAAAAAAAAAAAAAAAAATACTAAATGCATAGCATTCGAGGAGGCAGAGTGAATACAGGTCTTGATCTGAGACAGAAAAGCCACTTTTTTTCTTTCTCCTGCTTCTCTGGAATTCCTTCTCAGATGAGATTCTCTGGACAAATTATACCTGTATCTTGAGAGTATGTCCTTAAAAGTGTCAGCACCACGTGTTTACCTGGTAGCATGACATCAAATGGCAGGAAAAAAAAAAAAAGACAGAAAAAGTCCACCCATTTCTGTCCTTTAAAACAGAAGAGATTCAGGAACAATAAGCTGCTTCATGAAGATAAAAATATAAGTTTCTCCTTTCCTGTCCTCAGGTGCCCTCCCCTGCCACAGACACCAGCAATTTCTGCTACAGTAATGGAAATATGTGCCACACTGACCGCTCCCTACTAAACCCAAACAGAACAGGCCCTGTGACCACCCTTTAGTGCAAAGGTGGAACTTAACTCTTATGAATGAGAGCATTGCCTCTAAAGTTTTAATGAGCTTATAAATCACTTGGTAATTTTGACCCCACTTTGTGGAATGTGATTCTGCAAGTTTGAAAAGGGTCCATGAATGGATGTTTTAAACAAGTTTCCTGTCAATGCTGATGTTGCTTCCCCTTGGCTCATTATTAGCATTAGTTAGAGAAGCAGGCACAGCACAGGGTCCCTTACACTCAGCATTCTTGTCACAACCAAATACTTCTGGTAGAAATAAAGACAACCCGTCTCCATCCTAAAGTTTTATATTCTTTGCTGGCTCTTTAAAGTTTACAGAAGAAACAGAAAGCAGCAATGTCTGAATAAATCTGTATTTAAAAAAGAACATGTACACATGTACTAATGCAATGTTTATTAAGCAGGTACTATGTGCTCAAGAGTATGATACAGAGCACTGTACTGGGCATAACAAATTATGTGATTTAATTCTCATAACACCCTGGGAGCTGGTACTAAGGGTTTAATAATTTCCAAGATTTAGATAAAGGGCCCAGCATTTTTATTTCTTCTTCTGTTTCTCTGTCACCAACTTTTTAAAAAAATTGTATGGAATAAATGCTAAATATAGGCCGGGCGCGGTGGCTCAAGCCTGTAATCCTAGCACTTTAGGAGGCCGAGATGGGCAGATCACGAGGTCAGGAGATCGCTAACACGGTGAAACCCCGTCTCTACTAAAAAATACAAAAAACTAGCTGGGCGCGGTGGCGGGCGCCTGTAGTCCCAACTACTCGGGAGGCTGAGGCAGGAGAATGGCGTGAACCCGGGAGGCGGAGCTTGCAGTGAGCTGAGATCCGGCCACTGCACTCCAGCCTGGGCGACAGAGCGAGACTCTGTCTCAAAAAAAAAAAAAAGCTAAATATAGACAGATTTCAAGCTATAGAAAGAAAGAGTTTAATGTAGTTTAGAGAAAATTTTATTCTGTTTATATTTACTTCTTTTTTTGTCACTTGTGGAGCAACTACTGGATCTTCAGAAATAAAAAACAAGTTGCTAAATAGAATGTCTCTGTGAGTACTGGATTCATAGAAAATTTAAAAATTAACACCCTCTAATACATACTTCGTTTTTCTGATTTATCTGCTTTTGAGTTTCAGTAAATTCTAAGCACCAGCTCTAGAAAGGCAGCAGGATTCAACAGCCAAAACTCTGATCTCTTCTAATCATTTCTGCGAGGCAAGACTCCAGCGTAGAGTCAGACCTAAATAAGGCCTCTAAAAAGGGTGAATCTTAACAGGTCTGGGATCGGGTAAGAACCCTATGTGGAATTCAGTTCTCTATGCCACTAGGGTACTTCCAGTTTTGTTTTTTCTAACCTTATCTAAAAGAAACTTGAATCCCAGAGTTTCTATAATTTTTATTTTTTCTAGCCACCGCCCTGTCAACTTTATACTATATACTACTATGGAATTTAAACAAATTCCCGAAGTTTTCTAGGGTAATTTTTATTTTCTTTTTTTGGAGACAGAATCTTGCTCTGTCGCCCAGGCTGGAGTGCCCTGGCATGATCTCAGCTCACTGCAACCTCCGCCTCCCGGGTTCAAGCTATTCTTTTGACTCATCCTCCCGAGTAGCTGAAACTACAGGTGCGTGCCACCATGCCTAGCTAATTTTTGTATTTTTAGTAGAGACAGGGTTTCACTGTAATGGCCAGGCTGGTTTGGAATGCCTGACCTTGTGATCCGCCTGCTTCAGCCTCCCAAAGTGCTAAAATTACAGGTGTGAGGCACTTCATCAGGCCTTTCTAGGGTAATTTTATTCGAAAATAAATATGTGGCTGGGCACGGTGGCTCACACCTGTAATCCCAGCACTTTGGGAGGCCAAGGCGGGCAGACCCCCTCAGGTTAGGAGTTAAAGACCAGCCTGGCCATCATGTTGAAACCCTGTCTCTACTAAAAATACAAAAAACTAGCCGGGTGTGGTGGTGGGCACCTGTTAATCCCAGACACTCTAGAGGCTGAGGCAGGAATATCGCTTGAACCCGGGAGGCAGAACTTTCAGTTAGCTGAGCTCGCACCATTCCACTCCATCCTGGGCAACAGAGCAAGACTCCATCTCAAAAAACAAAAATTAATTATAATAACAATTCTTCTGTTCATGAATATCCTTACAGGTGTAAACATCAGAAGTCACAGCAATATAAAAAAAGTGGCCTAAATGAAGCCCAAGATTTTGGACATATCTATTTATTGTACCAACCATATGATGCATAATGCCATTATTTATCCAGTGGCTAAGCTACACTAAAAGTTTCTGGATTGTAGGAACCATGACTGCTTCATTCCTTTTTTTACGGTTATATGAAATGTAAGGAAGTACGTTATCTATTTAGGTCTCCAGATCTCATCCTTGTTTACCATTCAAGCACCGGAAACTGGAGAAACTCTCATCTGGGTACCAACCAAAGACACCTCTTGTATGAGGGGATGAACAAACACAGGATGACTCATTTATCTTACACTGAGACAGAAGCACAATTAACCACACTTCTCAGCCTGACACAATTCTGCTCTGGACATCCTCAAATACCTCAAAGACACCTAGATC